CCCCCCCCCCTGATCGAGATCTATCGTCGAAAGAACTTAGTTCAAATTACAATCCGTGATTTCAAGTACGGTCAGTGATTTGTTTTTCGACTTTCGTGAAAGTTAGTTGTGAACGCGTCGTCACAGATTCAGCTGGTCCTCCAATTACCGTCTTCCCCCGAACATAACGCACCGTAAAAATGAATGTATACGAGTTATATGTCCGGCCAGATAGCGTCAAAATGAGGGTGCGTTGTGTTCGGGGGAAGACGGTAGTGTCGTTGCAGTGGCGAGCTGTTTGTGGGGAAGTAGCAGTTATGATGATCGTTGCAATACGGTGGTGACCTATGGGTGATCCTCTTTTTTATTTATTTATTTATAATGATATATGTTTTGTTCGAAGGAAACATTCCTTTGTTTGTAGGGAAACATAGTCTTTTCCCCGCGTAGTCCTTTCTACGGTGGTGACCTATGGGTGACCGATAGTTGCTTCTCTGGGAAGAAATGGACATGCGCACTCTTTATCATTTTATATTTGTGATACTTAAAAAAAGAAAATGGACAGTCGTGCTTGACAGGATAATCGTGACGTTTATTAGATTTGAGGATCCATATACGTGGAGCGTACGGGAAAAAACAAGAAGAAAAAGAACACACAGGGAATGTGAAAAAAGCGAGCTTTGCTCCCGGAGATGCCAACGGACCCTGATTTGCGGCAGCATCTTTCTTGGGGCTCCGATGCTTCTTGTTCCTTCCCTCCCCCCCCTCCCCCCCAAATTATACTACCTCACGGCGGGAAGTAAATGGGATAGAAACGACGTTAGTTGTATATACTTCCTTGTGGGTGGGGTTTCGTAGCTTTGTTATGCTCCAGTCCGAAAGGGGGGAGAGGGAGAGGTTTGGGGACACACACACACACACACACACAGGGACAGACACACACACACACACACACACACACACAGAGAGTCCAGTTCCGAAGGGGGGAGACAGGGAGACGTTGGGGCACACACACACACGCAGAGAGAGAGAGAGAGAGAGAGAGAGAGAGAGAGAGATCGGGGGGGGGGGGGGGGGGCCATAGCGGCAAGCATGTGTACATGAGACTTTT